CTTGGTTGCGGGCACATCCCCAGTCGGGGGGAGGGGGGGTGCAGGAGGCAGCTGATGGACGTTTCTCTCTCATTGATGTTTCTACCTCTCTATCCCTCTCCCTTCCGCTCTGTAAAAAGGCAATAAAACATATATATATATATATATATATATTTTTTTTTTTTTTTATTTTTTTTTTAAATGTTGTTTTCAGGTCTTCTTATCCTACTGTATGAATACTTGGAAAGGACAAGCTTTGCAACATTTGATGATCCAACATTTTCAACATCCACAGAGATGACAGATACCTCCGGGGAGAGATCAGTTTCCTGTCACTCAGCCTCAGGCAAACGGCGCGGGAGTTCCAGCCAACCAAACCTCACTCTTTCTGAAAAGGATTAAAAAAGCCAACGCTGTCTGGACCGTTCCAGGCCTTCCGTCAGAGGCCGGCCCTCTGTTAGGCCTGGGCTTTATGGATCGGACCCTATTAAATAAAAAGTTATTTCTCTCCTGCCAAGCTGGTGGTGTCTGTCGCTGGGCCTGCACAGGGAGTGCCGGGGTCAGCTCACTCTCTTCCCAAAAGATCCCGTTATCGGCTTCATTAGCCCCCCAATATGTTTCCATAAATAAGCAGCTCTCTGATGGGAACCCATAGTCAGCGTTACCACTCAGAGGGCTGGATAACGTGTCAACGTGACAAACCGGTGGCCTCTGGCGATCTCACAGAAGTGGCATCTCCTCTGGGCAGAATGTGCTATTTTTCTGCCATCCCTCCCCCCAAACACACACACACACACACACACACACACACACACACAAAATAAAAACAGGGCAATGCAGCCCTGGCATTTCATTGAAACCAGCCAGATATTGTTCTGCTCTGTCGCTTTTCTCTCTTCAAACCGGGGTGGGGGAAAGGCAGAGTCACCAAAATGAGGAAGCACGCACAGAAGGGCCGCGGTGGCTTCAAACCATCCGCTGGAAACAGAGCGTCACCGGTGAGGAGCCCGCGGCTGGTTTTGTGTTTCTCGCTCAGATACGAAAGCCGCACGGCTAACCCCCCCCTCCCCCCTCGCTCTGTGCCAGGGCGGGAGGTCACATGGACGCTCCGGAATGAAGGGGGAAGCGCCGAGCACCTGACCAGTAACCTTTACAGAGGAGTGAGATCACACGAGGCTTTCTGACTCACTCCGCGGAGGCACTGTAACATGAAGGTAACTTTCTTACCGTTATCTTGAACCCCCCTCCCCACCCGCAACCTTCCGGCCCCGCAATCCAGCAGGCAGGCCGCCAACTGCCACACAGGGGTAGAAAGAAGCTGCAAGATGTTTCGCCTGATAATCTCAATGTAAAAAAAAAAAATCCTAACTCAGCCCAAGCAGGAGTGGTTACTGTGTAAAGCCACGGTTCCCAACCTGGGAGCACACGCCCCACTGGGGGGGGGGGGGGGGGCAATTTGATTTCTAAGGGGGGCAATTCAAGAATGGATTATTAACAGTGAATTGTTTTTGCATTTCTTATGGCTCTAAAAGGCCTAGTGTGTGTGTGTGTGTGTGTGTATATATATATATATATATATGGTATATACATATTGTGACATGTTCATGCATTTCAGTTCTCTAGTATATGTTTTGAAACTTTGCCATTTTTTCATATCACTTCATATTCTTTTTTTTTTTTTAATTTCTTAGTGATGCCTTTCTCAGGACTTCAACTATCCTTTTGTTTTATTTTTCTCTTTCATGGATGCCATGTTCTTTTTAAAATATATATATTTTTATTGATTTTTTTTACAGAGAGAGAGAGATAGAGTTAGAAACATCCATGAGAGAGAACCATCAATCAGCTGCCTCTTGCACACCGCCCCCTGGGGATGTGCCCGCAACCAAGGTACATGCCCTTGACGGGAATCGAACCTGGGACCTTTCAGTCCGCAGGCCGACGCTCCGTCCACTGAGCCAAACCGGTTTCGGCGATGCCGTGTTCTTTAGAAGCTTGTTTACACCAAGCTAATGGCCTTTCCAGCTTCCTCCTCATAAACAGGAGTTCACTTTTTTAATAAACATTCTTATTAATAAATGTCATGCTGGGGGGAAGGCATCGGGATTTTAGAGAGGTTTACATGGGGCATGGCCAAAAAAAAAAAAAAAAAAGGTTGGGAATCACTGGTGTAAAGGGTCACGTGACAAATCCAAAGCCAAGGCCACTGAGATAAATACCAAAACAAACAAACAAACAAAACAAAAAAAAAAATGAGGATCCCTGGGGGAGGGCCTAACTCAAGAGACTGTTTTAAAAATAGCAACAGAGTATCAATTGCTAAGGAGCTGCTTCCTAAAATTACTCTCCTGTTGATGTTTCTCATTTCTAAAATATCTATCGCAAGAAATGCACTCGCAGTCACTCATTCTGCCTTAAAAGAAAAAGTAGGAAAAAAAAAAAAAAAAGCCTTGCTGAAGAACACCGCCTAAATAAAGGCATTTATACAAGGAAGTGAATACCCTCACACGTAAGTACATTCTCAAGTAGACGAAAAAGCAGAAGTCACATTAAGTTCGAAACACAGAGGGGGGGAAAAAAAGAAAACTTAGCAGAAGTTCCTAATTTTAATAATGTTATGTATCTCTCTCTCTCTCTCTCACACACACACACACACACCCCTAGAAAACTGCCCAAGTTTTAAATTTTTTAAATTTATGGAGAGGAACTCTATAGGGAGGGCCCGTGAGGAAGAGTGGGAAGGAAGAAGAGAAAGGAATTAAGCATTGTAGACGCCATCCAGAGAAGTGCAGCTTTTAAAACAATGAAATCCAGGATGGTTTGGGGGTCCTGGTTGTCCTTCGTTTCCTTCCCATGTGCCGGAAGGAAATTTTAAACAGAACCGAGTGGTCCATGAGCATCCGCTGGGGTCGAGCCTGCAACAGAGGAGTCCATTCCAGGACGCCCCAAAGAGTCTGCCCTTCGCCCCGGTTTCTTTGGGGTATTTTGGGGGGGTTTTTTTGTTTGTTTGTTTTGTTTTTTACCGCTTGGCACTTCTCACCAAAGATCCATCCCGCAAAACCAAAGCGACGCCTGGACTCAGCGGGGCCAGGAGGCCGAAAACCAAGGAGCGAGCTCGTGTGTTCCTTTACACAATTTGGCTTTTCACAGCAACCCACTCGACGCGGCTGATAGGGAGAGATTGTGTTCCCTTGTGTCGAGGCATCAGGAAAGCAATCGTGGGGTGCGGGATGCTTCAAGGGCCGAGGCTCTCCAACGGAAGGGCTGCGGTGTCCATTGCAATATTTTTTACAAAAGGACAGGGCTTCACGTTCACTGCCAGGATGATGTCCCTTTGGATCCTGAAGTCTACCGTGACGGGGTCAGGTCAAGAAGCCACATTCCCTGTACGAACTGGGTGGGGATGGTGTGCATGAGGAAAAGACACGGGCGGAGGAGGGAAATGCAATGCGAATGCTTTTGCTACAGCGTTAGGAACTCGACAATTAGCCAAAACCGGTGTGGCTCAGTGGATAGAGCACTGCCTGCAGACTGAAGGGTCCGGGGCTTCGATTCCCATTAAGGGGCATGTACCTTGGTTGCGGGCACATTCCCCAGTGGGGGGTGTGCAGGAGGCGGCTGATCCATGTGTCTCTCTCATCAATGTTTCTGACTATCTATCCCTCTCCCTTCCTCTCTGCAAAACATCAATAAAAATATATTTAAAAAAAAAAAAAGAAAGAAACTCACAATCAATCTGACGAGGGATATTTTCTGCTAAGAATAGGAACGCGTGAAGTCTTTTACTAGCTCATCCGTAATAAACCATTTCCAAGAAGAAGAAGAAATTACAACTTGATATGGCCCTCCCCAAATCCCTTGCCAACTCCCCAGGGAACCGTGTCTGGCTATTTCCACAACAAACCCCTGCCCGGAGGCACCCCTTCCCTGTGCACTTCTTTCTTCCTTTTTTTTTTTTAATCAAGAGAAAAATATATGCAATTGATTTATTCTGTAAGACAAAAAACACATCATGCCATCTACAAGTTCAGAACTGCATCCCTGAATATACACCACCAGCTTGCAGTCCAGCTGAATCGTCCTGTGCACTGACTTCTAAGCGGATCCGATTGCAACCTTTTCATCACCCAGGGCCACCAGCAGGTCTGCAAGGTGAGGGAGCAGCGCAGCGCAGCTCAGGGGAGGCGCTGGGCAGGGAAAGGAACCCTGATGAGCGGGTCACGACCCACGCATTCCTGCCCGGGCCACAGAGCGGAGGGACAGAGCACAGGAACGCTAGCCCGTGGGAGCTCACCCTGCGGCTCCGGCACCGGGGGCGGCACCACCGGGGGCAAAAGCCACTCCTCCACCTGCACTCCCGGCCCCGGGGCCCGAAGGGGCCGGACAGGGGCCAGGGTTGGAAGCGGGGACAGGACAGGACAGCCGGGCGCCGGGGCAGGGAGCACCCAGGGAGGTCAGCCACGGGGCAGGAGGGACCCGCAGCCCGGGGCAGGGAGCACCCAGGGAGGACGGCCACGGGGCAGGAGGGACCCGCAGCCCGGGAGGGAGCAGGGAGCACCCAGGGAGGACAGCCACGGGGCAGGAGGGACCCGCAGCCCGGGGCAGGGAGCAGGGAGCACCCAGGGAGGACGGCCACGGGGCAGGAGGGACCCGCAGCCCGGGGCAGGGAGCACCCAGGGAGGTCAGCCACGGGGCAGGAGGGACCCGCAGCCCGGGGCAGGGAGTACCCAGGGCTGAGGCTCGAAGGGATGGAGGGGGGCCGGGATGGGACCGAAGGGGCGACCCGTGCGGAGCGGGTCCAGCGGCGGAGCCCAGCCGCCCTCCCCCCGCAGCCCCTCTGCGCGCGGGGCGGGCGCGCGCTCTCCCGCCGGAGTCCCCCCGACCCAACAGCTCCCCGCCGCCCGGGTCCGAGCCGGACCGCGGGGACCGCGAGGCCAGCCCCGAAGCGCCCACTCCCCCCCCCCAAGTCTTGGGGGGCCGCTGGCGGCCGCGGGGCTGGGGGGCGCGGCCGGGGCCGGTACCTGGGCTCGGGCAGGACGATCCTCTTGCTGGCGCGGGCGGCCGGCGCCGCCTTGCTCTTCTCCATCGCCATCAGGTAGCTCACATCGGCCAGCACGGCCTCCAGGTCCGCCATGTTGGCGGCCGGCGGCGGCGGCGGCGGGGCGGCCGGCTCCTCGGGGCCGGGACGGGACGCGCTCCCGCCGCCGCCGCTGCCGCCGCCCCGACGTGGGGGGGCCGCCCCGGGGCAGCCCCCCCCCCGCCCCGCGCGCCCCCGCCCCGCGCGCCGCCGCCGCGCCCGCCCGCGGGGTCCCCCCGCCCCCCGCCCCGGGGCAGCCCCCCCCCCCCCGCCCCGCGCGCTCCCGCCCCGCGCCCCCGGCCCCGCCCCTTCCGCGGGGGGGGGGGGGTCTGTGCGGAGCGCGCGCCGCCGCCCGTGCCTTCCCCGCGCCTCCGACCGACCGACCAACCGAGTCCCCGCCGGCACCGGCCCGCCCTCCCCTCGGGGTGGCCACGAGGGACTTCCTCTCCTCCCCCTTCCCTCCTCCCGGCTGCCCGCCCCGGCCGCTGGCTCTCACGCCCCTTTGATCCTCTCCAGCGCCCCCTTTCCAACCCCGGGGCCCCCCAAAACCACGCGCGCGGGGACCCGAGGGCCCCCGGGGGCTCTCAAACTGGGGAGGTCAGTCCGCACCCCTGCAGGAGGTCTGGGGCGCCCCCCCTCCCCCAGCCATGTCCCCCGCCTGCCCCCCGGAGATGCTGAAGCCCTGAAGCCGAGGTCAAGGTCGCCCTCAGACAGCGCCCCCACTCCTGACTCTGAACACACACACACCCCGCCCCATGTGAACGCAGCAAAGAGAAACCCAACAGCAGCTGGAGGAAGTTTGCTTGTTTCATGCCCCAGCCGGGCAGCGTGGGGGGGACAGCGACCCCCCTGGAGCCGAGCTGCCACCCTGAGGGGTCCCACGGAGGGAGGAGCTGCCAGCCTTCCGGGGGGGCATGGCGAGGGGGCTGAGTTGGGGTCCTAAGGGGCCTCTGAGAATTGGACTCTAGTCCTCCTGCCCTTGTGAAGGCCAGCTCCAGTCGATTAGGGAGCCCTGTGTGCACCCCACAGCACACGGGGGACTTGGGGAAGTGGGGAAGCCAGAAGCTGACACACCACCAAGGCGAGAGGGAATTTCCAGCTTCCTGGTCTGCATTCTCAGAGTCTGGTCACCCCTCCCCACGTGGGCCTGGGTTTTCATCTGCTTCTCACTTTTCCACAGCGGGGTACACCCCGGGGCACGCGGGGCTGCCCTTAAGGGACAACCCCGAAGCCTTTCAAAGACCTGAGCTGGGAATGAACTAATTGTTTCTATTATTTTTATTTTTAAAATATATTTTATGGAAAGGATATGTTTTCTTGAAAGAGAGAGAGTTAGAAACATCGATGAGAGAGAAACATTGATTAGTTGCCTCCCGCACCCCCCCCCCCCCCACACACACACACTGGGGATATGCCCGCAACCAAGGTACATGCCCTTGACAGGAATCGAACCTGAGACCCTTCAAGTCTGCAGGCTGACACACTATCCACCGAGCCAAACTGGTTTCGGCATGAATTAATTATTTTTTAAATCCCTTTCATTCGTCTGCACCAATCACATTGCACCCCGAGCCTAGATGTCACTGGGACTGAGAGAGTGTTCTGTCAGTGGCTTAGGAGAGCTCAATTCAAGTTGAATTTTGGACATTGCATGTCGCATCACAGCAGGAGAGGAGCGGCCTGATCTGGTGATCATGGCAGGAACCCCTACCCTCTCTCACCACACCAACCCCCCAGCCCCACCCCTCTATCTGTCCCCTGTATGCCCGCCACCACAATTGGCCAGTTTTAACCAGGCTTTTTTCTCAAGATGCACCTCACGATGTTAGTCAAGTTGTCCAGGAAAGGACAGGCGGGCTGTGAGAAGTGTGTCGGAGGGGTTGGGCTGGGTGGCAGAAACTCTAAATGGCCAGGGAGCACACACACACACACACACACACACACACACACACACACGCTGGAAGGAGACCAAGATGCTTGATTTGCATGAGCCAAATAGCAAGCCTTCAACTCCCACCCACTTTTTTTTTTTTTTTTTTTTTGCCTAAAAACAGGAACACGGAATGTCATGTCAAGGATCATCCCAGAAGGAAGGGTAAGTTCCCCCAAAAACCCTGTAACGCGTTTCATGATTTCATTAATGCAGTTTCTTTCAAGGATGTCTTTTTACCGTCCCATCCCTGTCACGAGCAGACCGTCAAATACATACATACTTCTGCCTGCGTGTGTACGGCCTTCCCGATGCCGAGATGGATAGACTGGCCTCTTGGACTCTGTTAAGAGTTTTCTTTGGTGGTGGTGGTGGTGGGCTTTTTCTCTTTTGTTTTGTTTGGGGCGGTGGGGGGGCGGGATGTTTGGTTTGGGGGGTTGCAACATGGGACAGGAGACACCCCTGAATTTGAACCCCTGCTCCCGCTCTGACTAGCTGGGTGATCTCAGAGGCAACATATGATATCTCTGGACTCCACTGTTCTCCTTACCACCATGGGAATGAGGCCGCTACCCCCAGGGCTGTTGAAGAGACAGGCGGAGATAAAATATGTAAAAAAAAAAAAAAAAAAAAAAAAAAAAAAAAAAAAATTGAACACCTTGCACTCTGGCCTGTGTAGCTTGTTCAGTGGTTAGAGCGCCGGCCTGTGCACAGAAGGATCTTGGGTTCAATTCCCAGTCAAGGGCGTGTATCTGGGTTTGCAGGTCTGATCCCCAGTCCCAGTCAGGGCACGTGTAGGAGGCAACCAATCCATGTGTCTCTCCCACATTGGGTTTTTCTTCTCTCTCTTTTCCTCTGCCCCTCCCTCCCTCCCTCCCTTACACTTTAAAAATCAACGGAAAAAATTGCCCTCGGGTGAGGATTCGCAAGAAAACCCCACAAGCAAACAAACAAACAAACAAGAACTGTGCTCTTCCGCTGACACCCAGTAGGTCTCTAACTAAGACTACTGCATTTCCTCTTGTCTATTTTGCTTTATTTCACCCCAGCATGCTAGACGCTCCAACTCTTCCGCCCTGGAAGCAGGAAGACACCCCCCCCCTTACCAAAAATAACAGCCCCCCCCCCCCCCGGGGCATTGCTAGGAACCCCAACGGGTTAGCCTTCCTAAACACGAGCCACTGCCCTTTTAGAAGGAAAACACGGGGAGTCCAAAACCGGATCTCCCCCTCCACCCCTGAAGTCAGCTGCCCGGATCCCCCACGGGTGTCTTTGGCGTTGATGGCATGCCAGCCTTGATTCCCCGTCTCTCTCCTTTGCTCTCTCACTCCCTTTCCCACCCCCCTCTCTTTTCCCTGGACGGTTTTGTGTTGGCGGCAAACAACAGGCACGGATGGCAGTGGTGAAGTTGTCATAACTGACCTGCTGGAGCCGGTTGCTAAACACCACCCCCAGCCTGCACTCATTATTGCCATTAGGAGGAGGAGGAGGGAAGATAAACAGCCGTCCATTTGTACTCCACCAGCAACGCTCCCTGGAAAACAGCGTCCTCCCTCCGCCTCCTCCCTCCCCCCCCCCCCATTTAAATGGCTTCGGGCTCCCGCTGCTTGTGATAATGGACACAACTCCTCACTTTGGATGTTCCCTTTCCCTCTTTCCCAGCACTCCCCTGGACGAGGGGAGGTGTGGCTGAGATGGGCTCATTCAGGTTTATACTCTCCGGGTGTTTTGTTTCTTAATCCTCATCCGAGGATATTTTTTTTTCCATTGTTTTCTTCTTTTTTATTTAATAAATCTTTATTGTTCAGATTATTACAATTGTTCCTCATTTTTTTTCCCTGTGTCTTTTGATCACATCTCCGTTATTGTCACGCACGCATCACACGAACTGCTTTTTATGCTATTGTAACGGCAGAGCCTTACAGACTTCCAAGGCGGCTCTGTGCATAGACACTCGGTACTTTAAAAGGTCGCCGAAAGGGAAGAAGCCTCGTGCGGACTGACATGGCTCTGAGGTTCTGCTCCATACCGAAGTAATCCCCTTTACCTGTGTGGGTGGCCACGGCTTCCTCCCCGGGGGCTCCTGGGCAGGGAGTCCCCCTGGAAAGAGAAGCTCTGGAGGGCTGTGGCTCAGAGTGCGGGCCCAGAAACCAGGCGGCCTGAATGAGAATGCTGCCGCCCGCCCCTGCTTCTGTGCTGGGTGACCTCAGACCGGTGGCTTCACCTCTCTGTGCCTCAGCACTCTCTCAAGGGCGTTCCTGGGATTTCTAGGAGAATAACCTGGTAAACTGAAAGCACTCAGGCCAAACCCGGTTTGGCTCAGTGGATAGAGCGTCAGACTGCGGACTTCCGGTCAAGGGCACGTACCTTGGTTGCAGGCACAACCCCAGTAGTGGGTACGCAGGAGGCAGCTGGTCGATGTTTCTCTCTCATCGATATTTCTGACTATCCCTCTCCCTTCCTCTCTATAAAAAAATCAATAAAATATATATATATAAATTAAAAAAATAAAACCTTAGATCTTTTAAAAAAAAAAAAAAAAAAGAAAGAAAGAAAAGAAAACACTCAGGACAGTGTCGGGGACATAGAAAGAACCCCCCTCCAAAAAAACAACAACAATACAACTTTATTATTATCATCATCATCATCATCTTCATAGTCATTGGAGTATCTCTGCATGACGCAAGGCATGACGGAGAGAGACCAGTCCTGGGTGTGACACAGCACAGCTGGATCTGACCCGCTGGGTCTGGCCTTGCGGAGTAACTAACCAGAAGCAAGTCCCTTAAGCTTGTTAAGCCTCCATTTCCCCCGCTGCCTCCGGAAGCCGTGGGTGTGCTGGTCCCCGGGGTCCCTCCCAGGGCCGGACGCCTCGGGCTTCCTTTAATCCCGCCCTGAATCCCTTCCCGGGGAGCGCACGCACAGCCTCCACGGCAGCTGGTGAGCTTTGGCTTCTCCTGGATTAGGCGACGCCTAGAGCACCCATCGCTCTCCCTGTCACCACGGTCACCACCACGTTTGCAGAAATAAGCACATTCGCCCTGGCTCCTCCCGCGCCTGCACTCACCGCACCGACCTTGCTCACTAAGTACCTATTGAACGAGGAAGCGAAGGAGTGAATGGGGTA